AACTACTTTGAAGATGCAAACAAACCAGGTAGATGGTTAGCATACAAATTGAGAAAGGAAAATATTGCAATTAATAGATGACCAAGGCCAAGTTTGCCATGGTAGCAAAGAGAAGAAGGAAATCATTCGAGACTTCTATGGGAAATTATATATGCAAGAGAATATTGATGAGGAAAGAATTAAACAGTATTTACAGAATGCTAATCTACCCCAGATACCTAAAGAGATTGAAACAATGTTAGAAAGCAATATAACGATGATGGAGTTAACTGAAGCACTCAAGAAGCAAAATAATGGAAAGGCACCAGGCCCAGATGGCCTTCCAGCAGAATTTTATAAAACATTACAAGAATCGTTGAATCTTCCATTGCTAGAAGTTGAATGAAGTTATATTAAAGAAGAAGATACCTAAATCATGGTCAAAAGCCTATATTACACTTATTCCAAAAGAGGAGGCCGACCCATTACAAATTAAGAACTATAGACCCATTTCTCTACTAAATGCAGATTATAAAATCTTTGCTTCAATATTGGCAGAAAGACTTAAAAAATATTTAAATAATTTTATCCATCCTGATCAAAATGGATTTCTGCCAAAGAGACAAATTAAAGACAATATGAGAGTAATCTTGGACACCTTGGAATACTACGAGGCACATCCTGAAAAACAAATGGCTCTGATATTTCTAGATGCACAGAAGACATTTGATAATGTGAATTGGCGATTCATGTTATTACTGTTGAAACAGATGGGTTTTGCTAGAAAATTTATTCAAGCAATAGAAGCTATATACTATAAGCAAACGGCAAATGTAATGATAGAGGGAGAACTGACAGACTCTATCAATATAAGAAAAGGAACAAGACAAGGGTGCCCACTATCACCTTTGTTGTTTGTGTTAACTTTGGAAGTGCTAAACAGAAATATTAGAGATGAAAAGAATATAAAAGGAATGAAAATCAAAAAGGAAGAATTTAAGCTGCACACATTTGCGGATAATCTCATTTTCATCTTAGAAGACCCTTTAGAAACAGCATCAAAATTGATAGAAAAGATAGAGACATATGGAAAGGTGGCTGGTTTGAAAATAAATAAAGATAAGACAAAGATCTTGACAAAGAATATGCTATTAAGACAAAAGGAAGAACTGGCAGACCTATTGAAAATTCAGGTCACGAATAAGATTAAGTACTTGGGCATATATTTGACAGCAAGATATAGTACATTAAAAGAGAATAATTATATCAAACTTAAACAGCAGATAGTGTTAGATTTGGCGAAATGGGAAAATTTACAACTGCCACTAATAGGAAGAATTTCAACAATCAAGATGAATATCTTACCCAGAATCTTATATTTGTTTCAAACAATTCCAATTAGGCTTGGAAAAGACTACTTTGAAGATTTAAATAAAATTGTGTTGAAATATACATGGCAAGGTAAGAAAGCGAGAATAAAGTTAAAACTTTTGCAAGATGCTAGAATTAGAGGAGGATTTGGTTTGCCTAATTGGGAGTTGTACTACCAAGCTATAAATCTGATGTGGGTTAAGGAATGGATAACACTAAGAAATACTAGATTGTTGACATTAGAAGGACATGATTTGTTGTTGGGGTGGCATGCCTTTTTATGGTATAAAGGAACTAAAACACAGGGGTATTTTAGAAGACATTATATATGGGAATCTCTGTGGTTAAACTGGGAGAAGATTAAAAGACAATGTTATTTGAAAATTCCAGTCTGGTTATTGACTATTGAAGCATGTTCTTATCCTATAATATACAAAAGGAACAAACAGATATGGTGAAATATTGAATGAAAAGGGTGAACTTAAATCTATGCAAAAACTAGAGGAACAAGGTATAAAGATGAATTGGTTTTCATATGCGCAAATACATTCAAGGTATGATAAAGATTCTAAAACAGAAGGTTTCTATGATAAACTGACTGACAGATAAGATTTTGACAGGTACTGATGAAAAAGTGATTAAAAAATTGTATGGATATTTATTAGAAATTAAACTAGAAGAAGAACAAGTTAAAGAAACTATGATTGCTTGGGGGAAGAATTTTGGATATGGGATCGATTTAGAGAAATGGCAAAAATTGAGGTCTCAAAATTATAAAATGACAATGTCAACAGCATATAAAGAAAATTTGTATAAGATGTTTTACAGGTGGCATTTTCCCCCAACAAGAATAGCAAGAATGTTCAAGAATAAATCCGAAAAATGTTGGAAATGTCATAGACACCTGGCTCATATTACCATATGTGGTGGACTTGTGTGGATGCTAAAAAATACTGGACTAAAATCCACATGTGGTTGGAAAAAATGACAAAAAAATATAGACTTGAAACCAGAGATATTTTTATTGGGAATTTTACCTGAAATATATAGTAAAGACTTGAAAAACCTGATTGTAAATGTATTAACAGCAGCTAGAATTGTATTTGCTAAAACCTGGAAAAATGATAAAATACCATCACAGTAGGAAATCATTAAGAAAATACTGGAATGTGCTGAAATGAGTAGATTGACATTTGAAATTAGAGAACAAGAGGATAAACAATTTTATAAAATTTGGGATCTTTTCTATCAATGGTTAGACAATAAAATACAGTAATGAAATACATAGACTTTTAGAAAATAATAAATATATAAAGATGTACTTTTATATCTACAAAATGATTTTAGGATAGATTTGGGATTTTAGGATAGATTTGGGTTGGTAATATGAACTGTTATAAAATAAACTAAGTAAATTATGACTATCCTGTAAAACATGAATGAATAAAAGTATAGTCAAATGATTGATTAATAATGATACTAAGGTATTTAATTTTAGATTGACAATATGAGACCATATGCAATGTAACTGTAATTGAAGACTATGAAATGGAAGCACAAAACAATTTGTAAACCTACCGGCACGGTGCATGTACACCTATGGAAGATCGCTTGATGTTTTTATGCTTTGTTTGTTTATATTTGTTTTTAAAACCAATAAAATGTATAAAAAAAAAATTCAGATGCTTGTCAACTGGTTCATATTTATGACTGTTGCAGTGTCCCAGGATCATGTGATCAACTTTTGCAACTTTCTGACATATTCACTTAACAACTGTGTTATTAACTTAATAACTGCAGTGACTTAACAACTGTGGCAAGAAAGGTATGAGTTCTCTGTTAATACTCACCATACCTATTAATTTACCAACTCCAGTTACTGCACCAGTGAACATCACACATCCAGTCACTATCACCTCACTAATAAATCTCCCAACATCAATGACATTAGCTGTCCCTTTAAATATAGCCATGAGACCTGTGAAAAGCATGCCTTTCCTTCCCCAGACATTGCCAATCTCTCCCCCCTAGTAAAAAAAAATTCATGCAGTATTAAAAAGAATAGAAAAGAGGGCTGCTGTGTATTGTTTAATGGATTGCTAAATTAGCAAAATGGACTGCTAAACTGGCCATGCCCAGCCACTCACATTACCAGCAAGCCAGTCATCTGACCACCAAGCCACGCCCACAAATTAAGCCATGCCCACAGAACCAGTTGTTAAAAAATTTGAATCCCACCCCTGAAAAGGATCAACTACAGAACACACGAGACCATCAATGATGTCTTTAAAGGAATAAAATTTACGAGGGGAGACATAAACAACAACATATAACCCTACCTGGACAGCCTCATCAGCAGAGGCCATGATGGCCAATGAGAAACACAGGTCTATCTTAAACTATCCACACCAGCCAAGCACTCAAAGTATCAAAGTAACCATCCAACCTCCCACAAGAAAAGCTGTTTAAGAACATTATTTAGATCAGCACAAACATAGTATAGCAATCATGCAAAAGGAAAGAGTTCATCTCTATATCTTCCAATAAAATGGGCACCCATGCAACTTTATCAAAAGTGCCTGATTACTCTAACACAAACTCTGAAAAGGATAACACTGCCATATATCAAAAGTTATCTCAGAAACCACCAATCGACTGTTACAACCACCACAGCACACAAACCAACTAAACCGCTCCAAAATACCCTGGGTAGGTAGCTCCAGAAGAAAAAAACAGGGATCATCTACAACATACAATGCAACAGCTGCCATGAAACACCAAGTAGCACTCAGAAGACGTGATAAAAAAACTCCTGAATTTAACCCTCCAAAGCACTTCCAACCATTATACAATTTGCACATATACACAACCACACACACATACATCACAGTAACTTGATTGCAATTTGAGTACTTGGCAATTACTTTGCAGTTCTGACCGGTTGCCAAGTGCCCCTCGACCAATCCAACTGCCACCTGAAATCTCCCCTGTAGGGCTTCCCCAGAAAGTCAGTGGTTTCCACTGGGTTTCTGCAGAGAGGATTGGGCCTGGGCCTGCCACAACCCACTGAGGCATCCCGCACTACCTATTTTACCAAACTGCCTCTAGCACCAGAAGGACTGGGATTGCAGTCATTGAACAAAGGAGTCATATGTTGTCTCACTTAACGACTGCTTTGTTCAACTACCAAGATTCCAGTCCCAACTGTGGTAGTGAGTCAAGGACTATCTGTACATCTATCTACAAGTACCTTAAACCAGGGTAGCCATATAAATAAAAAATAATAATAAAACACATATTAAGGACAGAAATTAAATCATCATAACACACTGTTATTTTATAAAATAACAAGGGACCCATAAACTATATTGAAACAGCCACCTAAAATTTTACTTAAGTGAATCCCTAAAAACCGTTTCATGTTTAAAGGGAAAAGTGAGGACAAAGACATGAACAGTCCAGCTGAGGAGGGCCAGTGTCGGAAGGAGAGTCTGGAAGAGTCTCTCAAGGCCAACGGCCGGGGGGCAAGTTCCACCCCCAGGACTGAAAGGAGGGAACCCCCCCAGGGCCAAAGCCGAATATGGCTCTGCTGGATGATGATGAAGCTTCCAAACGATCAAAGAGCATTCCTCAGTTGGCTTGATCCTCACCTGCTGTTCTTGACATGGACTCCCACAGAGGTGAATTCAATCACTTTCGTTTGAGGGTCCAGACTCATTCCTCCTGGTCCTCGCAAGTCTGAATTGCGCCTGTTTGCAGTGATGTAATCAGAGTCTTCCAGCTCAAAGTGGCAATACGGCAGGAGACTCTTCCCTTTCACAGCAATGATGGGGCCCTCCTCATCCAGCTTCAGATTAGGCATACTGGAAAGAAAGAAGCCTGGATGAGGAGTGAATGCAAAACAATGGTTTAAGGATGTTCCACGGCCTACGCATGTGCTTGCTTTGCATTGAAGCTCTCTTCACCTTTCCCCTCATCACCAGGTGCCCAGAGAGAGCTGAAAGAACAGAGGTCGTCTCTGCATAAAATAATGTTCTCAATTATTTTTCTAGTTGAGCCGTCTGGCAAGGTACCTGCTCAGGGGTGGGATTCAACCAGTGTTACTACCGGTTTGGTGAGTACGTTTTGCGCGTGTGTAAACAAACCTTAAGCTGTGCCACCCAGACAGCTGAAAAGCACTGCGCACAGGTGTGCAGCGTTTGAAAAGCCTCTTTTTTCCTGCTTTTTCAACCTCAGCTATGCCGCACAAAGCAGCTGAGGTTGAAAAAGCAGGAAATAAAGAACAGGTAAGAGCCCAGGCGGGTGGGTAGGCCAAATAGCAGCAAACACAGAACCTCAGTGCCTGCTGCTCTTCAGAGCTATTGGTTCTATAGAGCTGGGCAGAATCGGTAGCATCCCACCCTGTACCTGCTTGAAGTAAGCCTGAATTTTCTCAATTTTCAGTCAATCACTGTGCCACTTGGTCACTAATAAGAGAAAAGTTGGCAGGGGAGCTTGGACATTTGAGATGAGAATGCACAATTAGTGGCTTGAGAGGCTGCTATAATATGAAAAGCCACAGCCAAACCTGACATCTACAGTAGTTCAAATGCCGAGATGGTACAGTTTTAATAATAGTTGGCCTTGCAGATTTAAGCAAGGCAAATGGTGAATGCAGGAATTGTGAACATGACATCAACTAACGATAGCATGCCAAATCACCAGCACTCGAATAGTGCCAACAGCCAGTGAGTCAAATGCTGACAGAAACATTCATGAGTGACATCCCTAACTGGTAAATTGAGAGCTTTTGACTAAGGCAAAAAAATTGGAAGCGTTCAAAGGATAGGGATAGAAGTCTTTCAGTCTCCAAACCATAGGAGGTAGTTACAGACTGTAAGGAGAGGGGGAGTGGATCCAGGCAACTACAGACCAATCACCCTGATATCAATACCTGGGAAAAGCCTGGAAAAGGTAGTTAAAAACAGATCATGCCAGATAAACTTAACTGCCTTATTTGATAAAATGACTAAATTATTGCATCAGGGAAATGCTGTGGATGGAGTATACTTGGACTTCAGTAAGACATTTGACAAAGTAGACCCCAGCCAACTTCTTGGTAAGATAGAACAATGTGGAATAGTGTCTCACTACCAGATGGATTCACAATTGGCTGTCCAACCACACTCAGCGGATCCTCAATGGAGCCACATCTACATGGAGAGAAGCATCCAGTGGGCTACCTAAAGGTTTGGTCTTGGGCCCAGTACTCTTCAACATCTACGTATTGATCTAGGTGAGGGGATAGAAGGGAAACTCAGCAAATGTGCAAATGACATCAAGATGGGGAAACGGAGAACACTCTGAAAGATAGACTCAAGATTCAGAAGGACCTTGTCAGGCTTGAGTATCAGGCCCTAACCTACAAGATGCAGTTCAGTGATGAGAAAAGTAAGTCCTGCAGCTAGACAGGAAAAACAGGTATAGGAGGCACCTGGCTCAACAGGTGTAACTATGAAAGGATACAGGAGTCTTAGTGGACCCCCACTTAAGTATGAGCCAGCAGTATGCTGCAGCTGCCCAAAACAGCCAATGCAGCCTTAAATCGTACCAACAGAAGGATAATAGCGTTTTATACTCTACTGTGACCCCACCCTTTGGAATGCTGCATCCAATTCTGGCCACCACAATACAAAAATGATGTTGAAACCTTAGAAAGTGTGTAGAAAAGAACAACAAAGAGGATAAAGGGTCTGAAGGCTAATTCATATGGTAAATGGTTGAGGGACCTAGGTCTGGCCTATCTGAAAAAAAGGATAGACTGATAGAAGAATAATCTGGCCTATCAAAGAGAAGGATCAGAAGGGACATTGATAACTGTCTTCCAGTACTTTTATTTATTTATGTAACTTTTGTGCTGCTCATCTTCCCTGTAAGGTGACTCTAACCATAAACTTAACTTGAGGGGCTGCCACAGGAGATAGGGGAAGTGGATGGGGCTGAAGTGCCGACACAGTGCATCTCCACGGGGCTCTGTGGGATTGTGCCAAAATTCAACCTGCTAGGAGGATCCGAAGGACCCAAATCATAGGTGATGAAGAGAGAGAGGACACTCCATTGATTTCAAGGAGATTACAAACTCCTTGTTTGATTCAAAAGAAGCTCTCGTGCTGGCAGGAAGAAAAAGATGGCCATTGCATGCCTGTCCAAAGCTGTGACAGCCGACTGATGAAGCAAGCATAGAAACTAAGGAACAGTGTGATCGACCTGGATGAGGTTTTTCTAATTCCTGTTGAGGAACCTTCCCCTTTAAATTAAGCTTGGGCGAAAGTGAGACTCAAAGAAGAGGGTTAGGGTTCTCTAGTATGCTGCAGCTATAGTGCTGTAGTACTTCTCTTCCTCCAATAGATGGCTCTCTTAACCCAAATCCAATATTAAATTGTTGTCAAAACCAGCTGATTTTCCAATTAAATCCAGGGGGTTTAAAAATACAAATAAGCCAGATAAATTCTCCCGAAGATTGCCTTCAAATTATTTGAGCTTTTTCCAAGCTTTCTGTATTTTATTAGCTTGTCTTAGCTTTCTTTTGCCTCTTTGTTCTCAGTTTTTTTTCTCCAAGTGTCAATCCGCCGCTTTCTTAAGCTTAGGAGTTATCTTTTAATATTCATGTTGTTACTTCCAATCTTTAGAGTAAAAGTTGGTAATTATCTCACCCAGTTCAAATGCTCTGTCCATACACTGCTCAAATCTTGTGGTCCTGGTTGTCCCAGCTTTGTGACAGCCCAAAAAATGGCTGCTGTCCCTGCTGTCGTTCGGGGAGAGCTTGCTTCAGACCTAATGAGGAAATTGTGGTTTCCTCGTGGTCAGCGAAGCGCCTCTCCTTCCTTCACCGTCCCTCCAAGGCAGCTATAACCTCGAAGGGTCTCCCGACAGCGGTTACAAGCTGAATTTTGCAGGGCCCACTACTTTCCAGGCGTTCACACCGCAAGGTCAACCAGAACTCTATCTTATATATTAGTTTCACCTTTTAAGTTGCATTACTGAAATAAATGAACTTTTGCACGATATTCTAATTTTTTGAGTTTCACCTGTAATACTCCAAATGTTGTTCCAGACAAATAAGAATCAATTTTCTCAAGGTGAGATGCCACCTTTTGCTCTTCGTGTCCTCTCTTGCCAACACATTCAGGGGGACTCAACATGGCAGTAATAACATTGCCAGGGCAGAAGGACAGAATTGTGGAGGGAAAGCTGCATCTTCCTGGCCAAGATTTAACCTATTTTGCTATAAAATGTGCCCATTATGGCTGGATGAGATGGTTTCTTACAGTGATGGGATTCAAATGTTTTTACTACTGATTCTGCGGACGTGGCTTGGTGGGTGTGGCACACAGGAAGAATACTGTAAAATCTCCAGTCAGAGGTGGTATTTGCCAGTTCTCTGAACTGCTCGAAATTTCCGCTACCGGTTCTCCAGAACTGGTCAGAACCTGCTGAATGCCACCTCTGGTTTCTTACCTGCAGAGTAGCCGACCCTCAAACTCTCCTACTTCCTGGGGAGAGAATTTAACTTGGAGGGACTGAGATTTCCCCGGAGGGATCTTCCCACTGCTGGGCTCCATGAAGAATGGAGGGCGGGTGACTACTGGAAAGACGTAGGAAGAGAAACTCTCCAGGAGGCTTCCCAGCTGGCTGAAGGGCCGGCTAGGCTGGACCTTGATGGAAACAGTTGATGCTCTAGATGGGTTCCCTGGCAAAAGGAACAGTTTATTGATACAACATTTCTGTAAATACTGTATTTTCTTTCGACTGACCTGTTTGCTTCCCAAAATGGATCCCTCCAGAAATTCCCAAACTGTAGGATATTAAACTGAGGAAACCTGCTCACTTTAAAATGAATCATATTTTGAGAGACTCATCTACTAACAGAAGCAGTATTTCTAGTTTTAACTCACAGAAAACCCCATCCCCTGCAACTGATATTCCAGAGCTGGTTTCCTCAGTTTCAGTATCCTCCAGGGTTTTGATTTCTGCTCCAGAACATCCTAGGCAACAAGAATTCTCATCCTAGTTGAGAATTCTGGGAACTGAAGTCCAATAGCATCTTCAGAGACTGTTGTAAGCCACAAAGGATGGTGGAAGACAATGCATAAACACAAAACAAAAGATCTGCAGCAAAGTTGAGAACCTTGCAACAGGTGATTGTTAGGGAAGGAAGAGCAAGAGGAACATGGGCAGAGAAAGCTGTACCTTCTGGGCTTGCTGACAAAGCTTCAGTAGCAAAGTTGACAGCCTTCCCACCTTCTTCCATGACCACTTTCCAGGAATACTCCAGTTGCACATTCCCCGTGTTGGACAGCTCCATCCTGAGAGGGCAACAGAGCAGGGAGGAAATGAAGGCTCAGAGCTGAGATATATAACAAAAGGAGATACAAAGGAAGTGGCTGTGAGGGCCAAAGAATCAAAGACCCCTCCAAAGAGGATGTTGGTGAAAGCAGAGTCTTCTTGATCGCGATATTTTACTTGCTCTCATCTTACTCACGTGAATACCCTTGTTTGGAAGAGTAACGTGTCTCTGAAGTGCACGGCATCCTCATCCATTTTATACTGGGCAAAGTCAACGTTGGCACTCACTCGAAGCACCAGGTCCTGGCTACTCTCCTCCAGAGTCATATGAGCAGGTTCTGGATCAGTCTCTATCACCTGCCCCAAAAGCAGAAGGGTCAGAAGGCTCTGTGCCCATCGTCAGTGCTGCAGGCAGAAGTCTCTTGTTTGATGGCTGCTCCAAGACAAGAGGGCAGAAAGAGCAACCACCAGGAAAGTCCTAGAAAGTCTGTGCTCTCTGCACACGGTACTCAGCTGTGATGGCAGTTGCCTCAGGAGCACCAGCGAAGAAGGAGGTGGAGCAGGGCTGGCTCTCTTACATCTCCCTCCCTCCCTGCTTCCTTCCTTCCATGCTACAGAACTTACGCAGACCCTACCCTTAGCCAGCCATGTCTGGATGGCCGTTAGATAGGGGAGGAAAGGGGGCATAGAAATCACCAGGTTTTTTGCAGCAGGAGCAGCAGCCCCGATACATGAAATTACATCTATGAAATCAGAGGTGCTAAATGCGCTGAAGATGCACTGAAGGCAGTGGATGGGTGAGTGGCAATGAGAATCTGGAGGTCTCTACAGTGGCTGCCTCCCCAGTGATGGCCCTATAGGAAGGGCAGTTGGCACAACTCTTTGATTCTGCTTTCCTACCTTCTTTTTTGCTGGACGTATACTTGTGACACCTTTTGACACATCCACCCATTTGACCGTATGCAAGCGATCATCCCAGTCCGGGACCTGGTCAGCAGGGCACTGGAAGGCAATTCTGGACACCTTGCACCTGAGGAGCTGCTCCCGGAGGGTGATGGGCAGGCTGGACTTCAAAGCCAACGTGATGTTTTTAGTGCACTTTGCATGGAGATGGCCAACCTGGAGAGAAGAGTTCAAACATTTTGAGATGGACCAAATTCTGAGAATCAAGGAATCAGCATTCATTGGCTCCGGGCCATTTCACAGATGCGTTCGTCTAGTTTTCTTGGCAACAAACGGGAAGAGGCTTGCCCTGGCACTTCTGAAAGGCTTCCTTATCTAGGAAGCGCTATCATTGCTCTCGAGCTGTACTTGAAAAACAATCTCTCTGGAAGTCAGGTAATTGCTGAGTGACATGACAAAAAGCCTCTTAAACTAGGAATGGGAACATGGAACCCCAGCACCCCATTTGTGCCTCCCTCCCATGGATGGGACCAAACTATTCTGAGCCGTGTTTTAACTATTGGGGGGGGGGTGTCAAAATATATGTCTGGACATCTCTTAAAAGCCTGGCTTCCCCTCCCTTCAGAGGCAACTCCCCCCCAATAGCCCCCCCCATGTTGTCACAGTTCCCTCTGAGGACCAAACATGGGAATCCCCCGGCCTGACAAAGTTAGGAATCGCATTTGGATCTGGCAATTGGAGTACCACCAGCCTACCTGCGGGGAGAACTGGCAGGGGCCCACAGCAGGCCATTCAAATCTCATCACGTCCAACTTGCTGTGATTTGTGATTGAGAATGCAGCCTGATACAGCTTCCCAATGTGGCAATCTCCAAACTGGATGTGGTCCATTCTGACTGCTGTCAGAGAAGAGGGAGAGTGGTCTGCACCCCTTCCCATCCCCTGCACTGGCAAGACCAAGCAAAGCGGAAGGAGGGACACTGCACCGCAGGCTTTGCTGGGCTTGCCTTGCCCTCAAGTTTCGCATCCCCCACCCTTCCCACCAAGGACGGCATCCGGTTTGGCCAGATCGTGAATTAAGGAGGAAGAGGAAAAGCATTCAGTTGATGAACTGAGAGACAACCTCCCATGTTCAGACCTCTTCTCTTTCAGGAGGAGGGAAATGGGCGGGAGCGGCCTGGCCCAGCCTCCTCAAGCAAGGCTGGGTCTCCTGGTGGTGGATGCCCTCTTGCTGGGCAAAGGAAGAGGAACAAGCAATTTGGGCCCTTTGTCCTGCAAGAAGGGCCTTTCCCGCCCGCCTTCCACAGCCTCTGCAGTTTCTCAGGCTGACTCACCCTCTCCTGTGCTCTCATCCAGCTGCCCCTCAATGTCCTCTGCATTGGCCACTGGGCTATGAACATTGTCTAGCGTGACGTTATCCTGGTAGCCTTCGCCAACCATCTGGATGCTGGTTTCCTCATACGGGTTGTCCACAATAGAGAGATGGATCAGCCCTTCCACCCGCTGGACCAAGCTGGGCTGGAAAATCACATCCAACTCAGCTGCCTCCCCGTTGTGCAGCACCAAGGAGGCCGTGTGTGGTTTTCGGACTACAAAGATGCAAAGAGCAAGTGTGAGTGCTAAAAGCGTGGAAAGAGTTCCCTGGCACTACAGCAGGGATCCATAGCGGCCCAAAGGCAGCTAGTGCTGCGCTCACACTCGGCCCCGATCCCTTGCCCCAGGCAGAAGAGGCAGCTTTTACCTCCATCGCTGGACTCACTCTCCTCGTTCTGAGAAGAGAGGTAAATGCACTGGGTGGTGGGCCTGGGCCTCAGGGTGAAGGCCCCACTCTCATCGGACACATCCAGGTACAACTGTGAGAGGGAGCAATGCAAACATAAACGCCCTGAAATGGGACCCATGACTTCCATGGGACTGAAATTTGGCAAACTTTATAAAACATTTCATGACACAACATTATTCTAAAGCATTTTATGATCTAATACAAACGGTCATGAAATATTTCCTGTGCTGATGTTTGACTGTGCAATCCAGTTCAACAGAGGCTCTCTTCAAGGCAGAAGCATACGCTCCAAAGTACCCCTGGATTTTTAGGAACTTTTCAGGGCATTAGAAGCCCTGCCACTGTTGAAGGCCTTGAGGAACCTGGTAAGGGCACCTCTGACATTGCCTAGCTCTCCTCATAGTTATTCAGCACTCAACATTTTTAGGGTAGAGTCTTGAGTCTCAGAAAGCTTCTCACAGCTCTGCTTTCAATTGGCAGCCTGTAGGCTACATCAGGAACACTGGATTTCCCCAGCCTGCCCCCCCCCACCCCCAAACTCAGCTCCCCTTGTTTTACAATCCCTGGAAATAGGGCAGCTCTCAAAGGAGTGGAAACAAGGGAGCAGCCCTAACAGCCCAGCCAGGAAAGAGGGCAGGGAGGGCGCTTCCTTTGCCCCAGTGGTGCTCTAAGCCTTACCCCCTCAAGACCCCCCTGCCAATCTGTGATTGCTCTTCTGAGCACTGGCCGCTACCTGGACTAAAAGGCTTCCGCTGTTCTTAAGGACAAGGGGGAGTGCCTCCGTGTGACCTAAGAGGAGCTTTCGGAAGAGGAGGAGCGGGTTTCCCTTTTTATTGTGAAGAACAGGGCGCACAATGGTGATCTGAGGAAGACTCCCATCTCCACTGACTTCAAAGGACAGAGCTCTTGATCTGGCAACCACACTGAAAGACAAAAGGAATCACTGTTCTTATGTGCAGATTAAGAAACGTGCCCTCTTCAGTAGCCAGTTGGAAATTACCTGGGCATTGCATCTACTGAAGCCTCAAAAATGCACTGGTAGTTTTGCATGGCCTGTGGTGAGAAGGTCAGGGTAGCAAAGGCATGCGAATGACTGGCGATGGACATGCGCACAGGATGGAGCTCAAAGGTGTCGCTGATTCGGGCAGTGGACTGAGGAAACATCCATAGAGCAAGCAGAACTTCAGGAATCACCCCAGAGAAAGATCTGAGGACCCCACCCATCACCCACACCTCCACCCTTTACAGGCTATGGAGTTTGGCTGCAGTATATCTCTAAGAGCCATGGTGGCGCTGTGGTTCGAGTGCAGTACCGCAGCTAATTCATCTGACTGACTGCAATTTGGCAGATCAAATCCCACCAGGCTCAAGGCTGACTCAGCCTTCCATCCTCCCCAGGTGGGTGAAATGAGGACCCAGATTGTTGGGGGAAAGAGGCTGACTTTGTCACCCGCTTAGAGAGGGCTGTAAAAGCACTGTGAAGTGGCATATAAGTCTAAGGGCTATTGCTATTCCCTGACTCAGCCTGTCTGTTGTAATGGGAATGGACAACCTTGGCTTCCTGTCTATTGTAGGAAAAGTCAGGAACAGCCCTGTGGGATTGGCCTCTCAAAACCAATGGCTTCCAGAACAACTACCCATTCACAAGACAGGAGGGTGCAAGCGCTCAGCCAATTGCCACACGATTAATGTTCTTCCAAGCCTCTCATGAAATGGAATGGGACAACGTTACAAAACATGTAATGCAAACACTCTTTGTCCTTCTTACCTTGGCAGAAATGGGTTTTGTGGTCATGACAACATCGCAGGGGATTCGGCCAGGGTTGCAGATCTTGAAGCGGGCTGTTGCCTGGTGCCCAACCAGGACATTGTTAAAAAGAAACTTGTTCTCATCTGTCACAAACACACCTTCGCAGCCGACGGACTTCAGCACCTGGCTGAGGTTGCCACTGTTACAGATTCGATGCTCCTCGAAAATGATCCCTGGATTGTCAGTCAAAAATCCTTGGGAAATCAAAATGACATCAAGACTCAGAGACTTTTTCCTCATCACTTGCACCACAGGAACTGCAGGAGGCAATATCAGCAAGGATTCTGGCAACGAATCAGCATTCCCCAACCCATTCTTCTAACATCAGCTGCCTGCCTTCAACCTGAGAACTGCAAAGTTGCCTTTTGCACCACCTTCAGGGCTGCTAGATAGAGATTCTCCCCAAAGCTGAAGGGTCTCTGCTGAGATGAAACAACTGAGACAAAAGTTGCATTGTCCTCCTCCTTCCCTTCCTCCTCCTTGAGTAGAATAGGAATATGGAAGGGACCTTGGAGGTCTTGTAGTCCAGCCCCTGGCTCAAGCAGGAGAACCTATACCATTTCAGATAAGTGACTGCCTAGTCTCTTCTTCAAAGCCTCCAGTGATAGAGTGCCTACGATTTCTGAAGTCAAGTTTTTATTTATTTATTTTATTTTGTCAAGCGATTATTAGATATACCTGTTATCTAAGTATAAACATAGTTATGAATACATGAAATGGATACAAATAAAAAAAAGAAAAAGAAAAAAAGAAACAATAGGACAGGGACGGTAGGCACGTTGGTGCACTTATGCATGCCCTCTACAGACCTCTTAGGAAAGGGATGAGGTCAATAGTAGACAGTCTAAGGTTAAAGTTTTTGGGGTTTGGGGAAGAAACCACAGAGTTAGGTAGAGTAATCCAGACATTGACCACTCTGTTGCTGAAGTCGTATTTCCTGCAATCAAGTTTGATGCGGTTTACCTTGAGTTTGTATCTATTGTGTGCTCTTGTATTGTTGTGGTTGAAGCTGAAGTGTTCACTGACAGGTAGGACACTGCAATGTATAATTTTATGTACTATACTTAGATTGAACCGAAGGCGGCGTAGTTCTAAGTATTCTAGATCTAGAGTTTCAAGCCTGGTGGCATAAGGTATTCTGCAACGAGTAGAGGAGTGGAGAACTCTTCTTGTGAAATATTTCTGGACTTTCTCAATTGTATTAATATCAGATATGAATGCAGGCTTCAGACTGATAAGCTGTATTCAAGTATTGGTCTAGCAAATGTTTTGTATGCTCTAGTTAGTAGAGTGATATTACCAGAGAAAAAGCTACGCAGGATTAGGTTTACAACTCTTAATGCCTTTTTGGCTAAGTAGTTACAGTGGGCTCTGGCACTTAGATCATTTGAGATGAGTATTCCAAGGTCCTTGACAAAGTTTGGGTCATCAACAAGGTCTTGACTATTCAGCCTGTATTTTATTTTCTGATTTTTTTTGCCAATATGTAAGACAGTTGAGATTTGAAGTTGCCATTTGTTTGACCATTCTGACACATAGTTGAGGTCTTTTTGAAGGGTAGCAGTATTGTTGGTGGTGTTGAATAGCTTTACATCATCAGCAAAAAGAACGCAGTTGCTCTTAATATGATCACAGAGGTCATTTATGTAGAGTATGAAGAGAGTTGGTCCTAGAACACTGCCTTGGGGGACCCCACTGTGGACAGGTACAGAATTTGATAGGACGCTCCCAATTTTGACCATTTGTTGTCTGTTTGACAGGAATGCTTCTACCTAGTTATGCAGGTGTCCAGAGATACTGTAAGATTTTAGTTTTAGGAGCAGTTTGTCATGTACCACTGAATCAAAGGCTTTACAGAAGTCTACATAGATTGCGTCTATTGCTTTGCCCTGATCCAGTTGTGTAGTCCATATGTTTTTGCAGTGTAAGAGTTGCAGATTACAGGATAGTTTTTCCTGAAACCAAATTGTTTATTAGAGAGTAGGTTGTTTGTTTCTAAGTGGAGGATGATGGATTGGTTAATAATTGATTCCATGACTTTACAGGTGACGCAACATAAGGAGATTTGTCTGTAATTTTCAACTAGGCTGGGATCTCCCTTTTTGAAGATGGGGATGACCGTGGCAAGTGACCATAGGTTTGGCAAAGTTGTTCCACTGGTCAATTGTCCTCCCTGATAGGAAGTTTCTCTTTAATTCCAGGTTGCTTTTCTCTTTGATCAGTTTTCAACCATTGTTTCTTGTCCTGCCTTCTGATGCTTTGGAGAATAATTTGACCCCCTCTTCTTTGTGGCAGCCTCAAATACTGAAATACTGCTATCATGTCACCCCTAATTCTTCTTTTCTTTAGACTAGCCAAATCCAAACTCTGCAGTCCTTCATATGTTTAGTCTCCAGGCCTTTGATCAACTTAATTGCTCTTCTCTGAACTTTTTCCAAAGTCTCAACATCTCTTTTGTAGCGTATGGTGACTAAAACTGGTTGCAGTATTCCAGGTGTGGTCTTAGTAGGGTTTTATAAAGTGGTACTAGTACTTCATGTGATCTTGATTCTATGCCTCTGTTTATACAACCCAGGATTATATTAGCTTTTTTTGGAGGTGGCTGCACATTGCTGGCTCATATTCAAGTGATCATCCACTAGGACTCCAAGGTCCTTCTCACAGTTACTGTTTCTGAGCCAGGTATCGTCTAATCTGTACTTATACTTTTGATTTTTCCTGCCTAAGTGTAACACTTTGTTTTTCTCCACATTAAAATTCATTTTGTTGAATAGGGCCCATTGTTCAAGTTTGTCAAGATCTTTTTGGATCCTGAGCTTGTCTTCTGGGATGTTGGCTACTCTTGCCAATTTGATATCATCTGCAAATTTGATGAGTCCCCTTCTATTCCCCCATCTAAGTGATTTATGAAGATATTGAAGAGTACTAGGTCTTAGACGGAGCCTTGTGATACCCCACTACTTACTTCTCTCCATGCAGATGTAGTACTATTTAAGGACTACTCCTTGAGTACGGTTTGTCAGCCAGCTACAAATCCCTCTGGTGGTGATGTTCTCTATTCCACATTTTTCTAGCTTATCAAAAAGTAGGTTGTGGTCTACTTTGTCGAATGCCTTACCAAAATCTAATTATATTATGTCCATAGCATTTCGCTGGTCTACTAATTTAGTCACTTTATCAAAGAATGAAATAAGATTGGTGTCAGCTTTGGAAGCCATATTGACACCAGATGCTTCCACACTGCCACATTCTTGAGCCTGGGAAAATGGGAGGGGGGAATTTTTTGGAGTGTATATGGCTATCATTCTTCTTCTAAGTCAAGGTGATGTTATTTGTGCACCTGGGTGAGGGGATGTCTCAAGTTGTGATGGATGGTGATTGGGGCATGTGATGTGGTGATGGGTGCAGGAGTGGATTTGTAGTTTTTACTTATTGCAAGGAAACCTAGAACTTTCAGATTTGGGATTCCCCAGATGTGCCAGTTTACTATCCAAATAAAACAGAACTTTTGAGAAGATGCCTATCTCCGAGTCATTTGTTTGAGTGGATGTTTTCTGGAACACTGACATTTGGTTTGCATGATCTGTTTTTGCTTCTAGTTGTTTGCAGATCTATTTCTTGATTATCTTTACCACAATCTTCCCAGGTATTGGTGTTAGGATGATTGGTCTGTAATTTACTGGGGTTGGGGTTTTTTCCCTTTCTTGAGGATGGGAATAACATCAGGCCTTTTCCAATCCTCAGATTGGCTCCAGGATTTTTGAAAGATGTTGTACAATGGTTCTGAGATAACATCTGCCAGCTCCTTTAGAACTCTGGGATGTAATCTGTCATGTCCTGGTGATTTATATTCATCAAGTCAGATAGGTGTTCTCTTACCATTTTCTTGCTTATTTGCTTTGCTTTCCTGAGTTTATCTGTGCATGTTCTGGCTGTCTGCTGATAATCAGCCTTAGTTTTGTGTCCCGCTTTCCATTTTTTGTACTTGTCCTTTTTCTCTGTCAGTCTGTCAGAGAGATCTTTATGCAGCTATGCTAGTTTCTTGTTGAATTTCTTGTTTTTCTTTTTCAGTGATATTGTGCTGGACTCAGCTTTTATGTTTGCATTTTTTAGAGTTTCCCATGCTTCTTGAGTTGTTTTCCCCTTTAGGATTTTCATCCATGGACTCTTTCCTAGGCTCTCACTAAAATCAGCTCTTTTAAAGTTTAAGATACTGGTTGGATTATTTTCTACTGTAGGTGGAGGAGGCCCAGCTTACTTTATAACTGAACCAGTAGATACGAGAATGGGAAACCATAAAGAGACTTGGAGTTTTATGGTGGCACCAGGGATGAAGAGGCCCCTCCTCAAAGGCGGGCTGCACATACTGTAACAACTGGTCTGCCTAGTGCAAACCAAAACTGTGAGTGCGTGAGTGCATGTTGCCTTTGTGCGCATAACCGCACCATCCACGCTTGCGCGCGGCTGCAAAAACAAGGGGATTTCCTATATGTGGCAACCACAATGAGTAGAGCGGGTGAGGCATGGAAATCAGCTGGGCTGTGTGGGTGGGACAAACGAGCCAGACATAGGAGGGGATAGCACTGAGGTGGATGAGTGGGTCCAGCTGGTGATCAGAATTACCGGTATGGGGGAGCTGGTCCAAAGTGACAGCAGCCCACCACTGCCCCTCCTACTTGGACTGTCTTGGCTGAAGAAATGGAACCCTGAAGTGAATCGGAGGGTTTTTTAAAACAAAAAATTTGGCAGAAAGTGGCCAAGAAAGAGGAAAAGAATCCAAAAGCCAGCGGTGAGAGAAATAAAGGGCAAAGGGAGCTGGAGGCAGCAGATCGGAATCACTCAATGAGCGAATCCAAAATCCCAAAGGAGTACTGGGACTTGAGAGATGTGTTTAGTGAGAAAGGCTCTGATGCACTCCCATCCCATCGCCCCACCGACTGCAGTATTGAAATCCTTCCTGGAGCTAAACTCCCAAAGCCTAAACTTTACTTGATGACTCCATGCGAGCTACGAGAACTTTGCACCTTCATAAACAAGAACTTAAAATGTGGATTTATCCAACCAGCCAGGCCACAGGTGGTGCCCCACTTTTGTTCCAGGAGAAGAAAGATTCATCGATTTGTTGATTATGGGGGGCTAAATGCAGTGTGCATAGAAAATGTCTACCCACTGCCGCCAATGAAGGACACGCTGG